TACCCACAGAGTGAAGTGTCTTTCAAGCTAAAGAAGGAAAGGAGATCACAGCTCAAGGGCCATAGCCTCTTGCTTTATATCTTCTTAATGTTTTCTCAGAAAATGTACCATTTTAAATAATAACAGTTCACTAGTGGTAAATATATTCATCTTATTATGCAACCAGTCCACAGAACATTTTAATCTTGTACAATTGAACTGTAAACATAAAACACTAAATAAGCTCTCATTTATGCCATGTACTTTCTGTCTCCATGAATTTGACTACTCTTAGTAACTCATACAAGTAGAATCTTACATAGCTGTCTTTTTGTGGCTGGCTTATTTCACTTACCATGCCATCAAGTTTCCTCCACATTATAGCATTTTCTTCATTTTTAAGACTGGATAAAATTACATGCTGTATATATACCACATTTTGTTTATCCATCTATCAGTAGCCAATTAAACTGCTCTCACTTTTTGATTATTTTCAATAACAATGCTCTGAATATGGGCATACAAATATGTCTTCAAGGCTATGCCTTCAATCCTTTTGATTGTATACCCAGAAATAGAACTTATAGATCACATAATCTATTTTTAAGGTGTTTTTTTTTAATGATTTATTTATTTATGCATACAGAACCCCAGGGTATAGGCCAGAGGTGCAGGGGCAGTGAGAGGATTCACCAGAGACAGAGTAGGGAGCAGAACAGGCAGATCAACAAAGTACACTGCTGAGGGGAACAGCTGGTGAGACAGTAGAGGTCTGCTGCACCATGTGGATCACCTCCATGGTGGGGATTGAACTTGCACTGAAGTGGCTGAGGCTAGCTTGCATTGCTACAACCTAACCCTTTGCACCACCAGGGCCCATGAAGGTTTTTTTAAAAAGATTTATTTATGCATATAGGCCAGAGACAGAGTGAGGAACATAATGGGCAGATTAACTGAATACACAAATTAATTGAATACACTGCTGAGGGGAGCAGCAGATGGGCCAGGAGAGGTCTGCTTCCACTATGTGGGTTACCTCGCTGGCTGAGGTTCAAACTCGTTTAGCAGTGGCTTCAGATAGCTTCATAGTGCTGTCCTTTAATCCCTTGTGCCACCAGAGAAGTCCCATGTTTTTAAGTTTTTGAGGAACTGCTTTACCATCAGCTACACCATTTTTCTGTTCCCACTGGTAGTGAATAAGGTTTCTAGTTTCTCCACATCCTTGACAAACTTTGTTGTCTGTCTTTTGGTAATAGCCTCGGGTGACTTGTGGCTTCTATTTGCATTTTCTTAATGGTTAGTGATTTTGAACATCTTTTTATGTGTAGTTACTATTTGTATATTTTCTTTAGAGAAATGTCTATATAAATCTTTTTATAAATCTGTTTCAGCTCAGATTTCTTTTATACAAGATATTGGGAAACTTCCTCTGAAGCGACACTTTGGAAGGTCAGATGATAATTTTAATTTTCAAAGAACTGTTTTTGAATTGTCCATTGCATGTTATCTATTCAGTATGCAGTGAGTAAATGATGTTTGTAAAAGCAAAAATACATATCATATACCCATTAATTAAAGGCCATATGATTGTATTATAGATCCATCTATATAACAGTATATTTTTACCAGTTCACGGTAGAATATCAGGTCAAATAGGCTGATAGAATCACAGCAGTAAGAGAATCATTAAAATCCTCTAGTTTAATATATCTTGGATATCTAGAAACTCCTTTCTAGTTTTCTTGCCAAGAGGTATTCTTAGCCAGTCGTTGAAGTTGACAGTGAACAGGAACTACCTCAAAAGTTAACACTGTCTTCTTCATTCCCTTATCGTAGAAAATTTAGATAACTGAAAAAAATAGACATTTTAATCTTTATCAGTACTGTTCATTTTACTATAAAATGGGCTAATATATAAAAATATATATATATATAATATAAAATGGGTTAACAGAAAATCTTTATTTCCTTTCCACTGAATTTAATTGTAGGTCAAATTATACTCAGGCATTGTTTGTTTTTAAGATTTACTTATTCATACAGAACTGTGGTACAAGCCAGAGGTGCAGTGGCAGTGAGAGCCTTCACCAGGGACAGAGTGGGGAGCAGAACAGGCTGATCAACGAAGTGCACTGCTGAGGGGAGCAGCGGGTGGGAAAGGAGAGGTTTGCAGCACCATGTGGATCACCTTCGGGGTCAGGGATTGAACTCACTTTTAAGCAGCTTGCAGCCAGCTTGCAGTGCTGCGTCCTAATTTGTTGAGCCACCAGGGAGGACCTAGGCATGATTTTTAAAAGATTTGAAAAGATCTTTCTTTTTACCTAGTTAAAAGGACAAAAGTGAATTATATAAATGGAACATATTACTTCTCATACCTGTCCTTCCTGGTAGAAAGGAATTTCCAATGGAAAACTTTTGTCTGGGACTTTTTTTTCTCTGTTACCCTCATAGATTCCTTAATGCCTTTGTGATATTCATGGTTTTTTCTAGATTATGCTTAACTATGTAGCACCCGTCTTTCCTATTACAGAAAGATAATGATGGATGGTTCTTAAAGCATCATCCCACAGGAGATGTGATCAAGGCTCACACATCTTTTGTAAACATTGCTTTGTCCCTCATATCCCTCTGAATTAAAGCAAAACCAACTCTCTTCACAGGCTTCTTTAACCCCAAGATTATGGCCTCAAAATCAAGGGAGGAGAAGTATCTTTTGTAGTAAAAGACATTTTGCTATCACTTACTATAACCATATTTTAATGTTACCTTTGATTAATATTGCTATTAAATGGTACCACTTAAGAACTAGAGCTATAGTTTCCCA